GAACTAGGCACTGAGCAGACAGAACTTTGTTACTCCAGGGTAACGACTTGTCAGCACACAATAAACAACACACAACGCAACGCATATAACAGAACACAGTGTATTACGTACAACACGACAAAACACACAAATAATAACATATATCACGTAACAAACAACACATGACACACAAAACAAGACACAGTCAATTAACTTATCTGTTTACTTACAACCAATCAATCATTCGTAACTGATCGAAGTCCGCGGGGAAATGGAAAGAGGCAGACCAGACAATTCACACGAAAAGACTTGTCTCAATTTAGATACATCATGCGTGTGAAGCAGTCTATAGGGATATTTCCCAGATGTGGGAAAATATTTGAAGTATATTGCCACCCCTTCCTCTGTTTTTGGATTGTGTGTGTGAGGGGGGGGGGGTCCTTTTTTGGGGTTAACTTTTGTTTTTCAAACTAAAAAGTAATTAAAATGTTTAGAAGGAATTAAGCAGTCTTTTAAAGCGTCACACGCGTAATTAACTGGCTAGAACGGTGGTGGAAAAGGTTTTGGCTCGAATAGCGAGAAATTAAAAGCTTCACTAAGTGTCGCCCTGTGTTACATTTTCCGCACCCATTACCCGAATCTTGTCAGAACGAATCGGCTTGTCAGGCGACTCTGTTTTTGCTTCGGCGTTTCGAATGACTGCCCAAGATATGGGCTTGTCAGAAAAAGCTTACGTTCGTTGCTTTGCTGATCTTACAATAATTATGTTTTGATGCTGTAACCATAATAGTGTGGTGTCCTTTAAGAAACTCGATGGGCGGTTGGAGGGCGCCACTGGCAAGTCATTCAGACGGCATCTTTTCCACTTTTCCTCCTGTGCTAAATGGCTGTTATAACGTCTATGTTTTTCTTTGTGCACACACTAAATGCCCGTTATCGTATTTGTGTGTTTCTCTTTACTCACTCTAAATGGCCAATATAATGTCGATGTACTTTATTCTATTCACACTAAATGGCCGTGATTGTATCGAAGTTTTTTTTTTCCTTTTTAGTAACACTATATGGCCGATATAAGTCGATGTGCGTTTGAACGCTGAACTGTCGAATTTTCTACCTAAAGTAAAGTACCTCAGTGGGCGGTTGGCGGGTGCTATGGTGTGGTTTTCTCCTTCTTTCCTTTCAAACGTTTATCCTCCTTATCTGCCCCCCCCCCCTTTCTTCGTATAA